CCAGAGGCATGCCTCTGCTCCAGAGACACGGTCTCCCGATGACATCGACAAGTTGCTTGAGGGCTTGGTTACCCAGGACGATGAGCAGGTGAGACGTCTGCTTGCCATTGCGGTGCGGAAGGTTTTGCAGGCCATGCAGGCCATAGAGACCAAAAGATTTCATATCCCCAAGCCCTAGCCCTCACCTTTCCTGACTTTTCGCTCACAGTTACAGTGGAGCGTTAAAGGCACAACATCTCAGCCCCAAAACCACAACATCCGAGGCCGAGGCCGAGAACAAGGTGACCGTGGCGGAGGCCGCAGCCAACACGAAGGTCGCTCAGGCCGACACGAAGGTCGCTCAGGCCGACACGAAGGTCGCTCAGGCGGGACGCAGGTGTAATTTGTTTATTCGGCTGTATTATTGATAGTATATATAGTAGCAGCTGGCTGCACCAGAAGAGTTTTAATTCGAGCCCACGTACCCCAACTACATAGCTGTCTAAGTTGCTGTCACCCAACGTCTAGATTCCCAGCCAGAGCATTCCTTCATAGAGCACAATTGGCAAGGCCGAGGCCCAGGAAAAGATCGCGCAAAGAGAGCTGAAAGCATCGGAAGACAACCTCTTGGCAGTCAAGGGCGAGCTCACTGCAAGGGACATGATGGAGCGATTCGCAAGCAAGGTTAGGAAAGAGGCGAGCCGTCCCGCAGATGAGCCAACCACAGCTACGTTGAGAAGTTTGCAGGAGTGCCGGATGAGCCCAACAGCTCAAGTGATGCAGTCCATAGTCGCCAAATGTTTCGGTAAAGATGTTTCTTTTAGCAGTATGCATCTTGTTGAGTTGTACAGGCTTCTATCAGGCCACACGCACTATGCGCCATGGGCAGGGCCAGGCATCCAGCTAAGCCCAAAATTGAATGCCGCACAAAAGTGTGTCCTTCTCACGTATGCGAAACAGGTTGAGAAACGTGATGTCTCTATGGCCGATGTTGAGCCCGAAGAGTCCGAAGAGGAAGCGGCCTCCGAGCCCGGAGACACCTGAGCGCTTGCCATGCGAAAAGGGCCGGTGTTTCCTCGGCCGCATTCTTTCGCTCACGTCTACACATCACTGCTCAGGTCTTGTGCAAGTCGTAGCGCTCGCTTTTGGTTCTGGTTGGTCATTCGCTGGTTGGGTGACTATACAGTTTTAGTTTAGGAAGAGTTCTTAGAGGGATTCTTGCTTTTGAAAGGGTAAAGCGTTACACGTAAGTGCGTTTGGAGCATCACCCAGTCCAGGGTCATTTTGGGATGGTTTTCGGAGTTCTTACTCACCATCATGTCACAGCTCAGATTTAGATATTTGGTGCAGAATGGGTGAAGTAAAGGATATGGTTATTGGATATGATTTGGGATTGCGGTATAAGCTTTGCGTGAAAGTTTTGGGTGAAAGTTGGGCATAGAGTGGATAAGGTTATGGGTTGAGGTGGTTGCTTTGGTTTAGGTTTGTGGTGTGAGGTAGGTTTTAGGATACTGTTTTAGAATGATGGTAAACGTGTAGGGTGGGGGTCAGGATGTGAGGTGTGGGGTAAGGGCGGTGCTTTGGATTTTGTTTTGTGCGGTGTTGTGTTGGGAGGTGCTTTG